ATTTCAAGATTATAAACCTTAATATCATTGATTTGATTTTTTTTTAATGACTATGCAGGATCATATTCCTCCTAGTGGTTATGTCAAGATCCCTCGTGTAAGTTAGTTAACCAAACTAATTAGTTCAAATTCGATTCGGATTTTCCACTCAATGGATTTGGTTGTCTCAGGAATAAATGTCATAGTATTTTGGAACTGTCAAAAGCTTAACAACGAGAGACATTTCAAAGACCATTTCACCAGCTTACACAACTTGGTTCTTGTCATGGTACTTACTGTGCCTCCTTGCTTGAATTACATGTTTTTCAAGCTCATTCTTCTTCTTAATTCCTAAACAGTTCCGATACGATACAAGATTTTTAGCCTATCTTCTGGAATTGTACAAATTAGCTCTGTGTTTTTCGTACCCAAATTTTTCATTGTTGCAGGAAAAAATGGCGATGATCAGCATGCAGAGACCATTCAGACTTAGAAGTCTAACTCTAGGTGATGTCTTGATCAATTTTAACCCAAAAGAAAAAGGCCAAGGTGAGAGATTTTGTCTCGTTTCTTTTACTCTGTTATGTTTTAGACTTCAAATAATTAACAAACAAAATTTGACCTAACTATGCTTATAGGTGAATAAAATAGCCAGAGTTTGGAACGGTTTACACTGGTTTGGTTTAGCCGGAATTTGACTAATTGAGGTTAGCTGGATTCTAATTTTTATAATAAGTACCCGTGCATACGCGCGGGTTTTCTCGTGTTGGTTAAAAAAACTTGAAAGAAATTCTGTTAGCCAATTCAAAATCATTGTTACTTCAGCGGTTCCAATTTCAAATGTTATGTACTTGTGAAGATTTAAAATAAATTATGCAGAAATAAAAAACGGATAAATAGGTAAAAGATACCTAAAGATTAAGAATTCGAAGAATGATGTCATTATCACATAGAGAACTGTGAAATACATAAGTTTAAACCCAAAAAACTCTAAAGGCAACGTCTTCTCTCTTTGGAAATAACTACTTCCTCTTTTCCATAACTCCTCCCTTTCTT